TTTTTTTTTTTTGAAAAAGTCGAATTTTAAAAATATATATATATATTTAAAACAGATAACACGAATTTCAAAATTCCGTTTTTAATAAAAAAAATTAAAAACAGATAAAACAGAATTAGTACAATTGAAGTCAAATTAGCACAATCTCGGTCACTTATAGGGTAATCGAACTCGAATTAGTCCAATTGAAGTCAAATTAGTACAATTTCGATCAATTATAGTGTGATCGAACTCAAATTAGTCCAATTGAACTCAAATTAGTACAATCTCGGTCAATTATAGTGTGATCGAACTCGAATTAGTCCAATTGAAGTCAAATTATAACAATCTCGGTCAATTATACTGTAATCGAACTCAAATTAGTCCAATTGAAGTCAAATTAGTATTATAATTGACCGAGATTGTACTAATTTGACTTCAATTGGATTAATTCGAGTTCGATCATACTATAATAGATCGAGAATGTACTAATTTGACTTCAATTGAACTAATTCGAGTTCGATCACACTATAATTGATTGAGATTGTACTGATTTGACTTCAATTGGACTAATTCGAGTTCGATTACACTATAATTGACCGAGATTGTACTAATTTGACTTCAATTGGACTAATTCGAGGTCGATTACACTATAATTGACCGAGATTGTACTAATTTGACTTCAATTGGACTAACTCGAGGTTGATTACGTTATAATTGACCGAGATTGTACAAATTCGACTTCAATTGGACTAATTCGAGTTCGATTACACCATAATTGACTGAGATTGTACTGATTTGACTTCAATTGGACTAATTTGACTTCAATTGGACTAATTCGAGTTCGATTGCACTATAATTGACTAAGATTGTACTAATTTGACTTCAATTGGACTAATTCGAGGTCGATTACACTATAATTTACCGAGATTGTACTAATTTGACTTCAACTGGACTAATTCGAGTTCGATTACACTATAATTGATTGATATTGTATTAATTCGACTTCTGTTCGACTAATTCGAGGTCGATTACACTATAATTTAGCGAGATTGTACTAATTTGACTTCAATTTGACTAATTTGAGTTCGATCACACTATAATTGATCGAGATTGTACTAATTCGACTTCAATTGGACTAATTCGAGTTCGATTACACTATAATTGACCGAGATTGTACTAATTTGACTTCAATTGGACTAATTCGAGGTCGATTACACTATAATTTACCGAGATTGTACTAATTTGACTTCAATTGCACTAATTCGAGGTCGATTACATTATAATTTAGCGAGATTGTACTAATTTGACTTCAATTTGACTAATTTGAGTTCGATCACACTATAATTGATCGAGATTGTACTAACTCGACTTCAATTGGACTAATTCGAGTTCGATTACACTATAATTGACTAAGATTGTACTAATTTGACTTCAATTGGACTAATTCGAGGTCGATTACACTATTATTTACCGAGATTGTACTAATTTGACTTCAATTGGACTAATTCGAGTTCGATTACACCATAATTGACCGAGATTGTACTGATTTGACTTCAATTGGACTAATTTGACTTCAATTGGACTCATTCGAGTTTTATTACACTATAATTGACCGAGATTGTACTAATTTGACTTCAATTGGACTAACTCGAGGTTGATTACGTTATAATTGACCGAGATTGTACAAATTCGACTTCAATTGGACTAATTCGAGTTCGATTACACCATAATTGATCGAGATTGTACTGATTTGACTTCAATTGGACTAATTTGACTTCAATTGGACTAATTCGAGTTCAATTACACTATAATTGACTGAGATTGTACTAATTTAACTTCAATTGGACTAATTCGAGGTCGATTACACTATAATTTACCGAGATTGTACTAATTTGACTTCAACTGGACTAATTCGAGTTCGATTACACTATAATTGATTGAGATTGTATTAATTCGACTTCAGTTGGACTAATTCGAGGTCGATTACACTATAATTTAGCGAGATTGTACTAATTTGACTTCAATTTGACTAATTTGAGTTCGATCACACTATAATTGATCGAGATTGTACTAATTCGACTTCAATTGGACTAATTCGAGTTCAATTACACTATAATTTAGCGAGATTGTGCTAATTCGACTTCAATTGGACTAATTCGGGGTCGATTACACTATAGTTGACCGAGATTGTACTAATTCGACTTCAATTGGACTAATTCGAGTTCGATTACACTATAATTGACCGGGATTGTACTAATTCGACTTCAATTGGACTAATTCAAGGTCGATTACACTATAATTGACTGAGATTGTACTAATTCGACTTCAATCGAACTCGAATTAGTCCAATTAAAGTCAAATTAGTCCAATTGAACTTCGAGTTCGATTGAGTCAAATTGGTACAATCTCGGTCAATTATAGTGTAATCAACCTCGAATTAGTCCAATTGAAGTCGAATTAATACAATCTCGATCAATTATAGTGTAATCGACCTCGAATTAGTCCAATTGAAATCAAATTAGTACAATCTCGGTCTATTATAGTGTAATCGAACTCGAATTAGTGCAATTGAAGTCAAATTAGTACAATCTCGGTCAACTATAGTGTAATCGACCTCGAATTAGTCCAATTGAAGTCAAATTGGTACAATCTCGGTCAACTATAGTGTAATCGACCTTGAATTAGGGAGCCGACGCTCGGTATTACCCTGTTGGGGTCCTTTTAGTTTCTTAGTTTCTTAGTGTTTTCGTGTGTTAGTGTTATTTGTGTTCGTATGTATTAGCCCGTTGGGATCGTCGGCTCTATGCAGTCATTGACTGTCTCCCCACTCTATTCAGCTGTTGGCTGATTCTATTCAGTTGGTGGTTGAACCTTTCTACATTTGTGTTATTTATATATAAAATCTCTATCGTTTCGAAAAAAAAAGGAAGTCAAATTACTACAATCTCGGTAAATTATAGTGTAATCGACCTCGAATTAGTCCAATTGAAGTCGAATTAGTACAATCTCGGTCAATTATAGTGTAATCGACCTCGTATTAGTCCAATTGAAGTCGAATTAGTACAATCTCGGTTAATTATAGTGTATCGACCTCGAATTAGTCTATTTGAAGTCAAATTAGTACAATCTCGGTCAATTATAGTGTATTCGACCTCGAATTACCCGAATTGAAGTCAAATTAGTACAATCTCGGTCAATTATAGTGTAATCGACCTCGTATTAGTCCAATTGAAGTCGAATTAGTACAATCTCGGTTAATTATA